TAACGAGATCCTCATAGATCCCAACACATAGCGATGAAAAAAGTGGTATGTGCTCACTCTCATGTCCCCCTTCCCCCTCATTCCAAGTTGAGCAGGTGGCAGACATGACGGCGATGGGACGAGTGGCTGGTCTTCATTTATGATTATTTTCTTCCGCTATTTTATGAACATGTTGAATCGGTTTATGAACCTGTTGCATTGGTTTTATAAACATGTCGGGTTGCTTTCAAACTATGTCATTTTGAAAATGTTGAATTTGTGGATTGATTTTTGAACTCTTTGAGTTGGTTCGTTTATTTATTGAACATGTTGAACTGGTTATTCATGCTGATATGCTATGTTGAATATCATGTTGAATTGTTACTTTGGGATAATGAAATCCATGTAAAAACTGGGTAATGAATCCCCATGAGTTCAGATATGACTTGAACTATGTTGTGAAATGATCGTTAATGCCCATGTTTATGTTGAAATCGAAAAATGAATTTCAAAAATTTATATCTTGATATTTGGAAAGTCCGGAATTTTTCTTTAAAATCAAAGTGTGGCGTTACAGTTGTGGTATCAGAGTCGGTCTATGTTTCTGTAAACTGCTTAATGTGAATTATGTGATTAAATATTTATATGACCTTGTGTACGACCACTTGTCTTTGTCCATCCGCGCCGCTCAAGGTATGTTTTTTTCATAAGTAATAACAAAATTGCTTATAATGTGTGATGATGTGTTATGATATCATTTGGGGCTTAGGAACTTATCCTCCGTATATATGGGCTTGCACTCTAGTGGTATAGAGTTAAGTTATGACTTCAGAAGCTAGTTGTTGTGAGTTTTCGATATGATGTTATCAAGTTGAGTGTCTAAAGCAGTTTTGTCGCTATAAAATTATATTCAGTGTCTTCGAATGAGGACCATTCGTAAACTATCTCGAAGGAGAAGGTTTAGGAACCGGGTAAGTCCCTAGTGTGTGGGATTACTCGGAGAACTAGAAGAATTGTCAATAGCACCTTTAGATGCATGTTAGTACCCACTCAATGAGGACCGGGAGTGGCGTTTAGGAGCCATGTTCATGTTGCTGATCGACAACATAAATTATGGAGAGTCTGATGCCTTTCACTATTGCAACTCTCGAGAGTGGCTGAGTCTCAAGAGAGACGATATATGTCAATTCTTTTGCGCAGATTCTCGAATGAAGGAGTCCAATGTTGATCTTAGGATGGATAGGTTGATCAAACACCACGCGAATACTTGACACCACGATCGCGAAGCGACACTTCAATCTTGAAAGGGATGACAAAATTTTCTTCCGTGTACAAGTCGAGAGGGATGCCCTCATGATAAGAAAAGAATGTTTGAATATGTGTTGATATATATGTTGTTATTGCACTATTTGGCTGATCTTTTATATATGCATGTATATGTTGTTCCTACTAAAACCATATATTTTCATAAGTTACAATTCAATTTTAGGGCCTTGTGACTTGTGGTGCTAGTTGTTGGGTTCGGCGGTGATTTCGGTTGCTGCTATGTGAAACCCGATTTGATTGGCGAGGAGGCATCGCAACAATGCACGTACCGGCTGTGCGACCCACGCCCCCAATTGGGTGCCTGATGATGGTCGTCGTGCGGTGAAAAGGTGGGGATCAATCATGGCGGGTGTCTTCGGTAGTTGTTTGGTTCGGCGGTGATTTCGGTTGCTGCTATGTGATCCGACGATGATGACCGATTAATGCCTTGCTAGTTGTTGGGTTCGGCGGTGATTTTGGTTGCTGCTATGTGAAACCTAATTTGATTGGTGAGGAGGCACCGCAACAACGCACGTACCGGCTGTATGACCCACGCCCCAACTTGGGAGCCTGGTGATGGTCGTTGTGCGGTGAAAACCTTATGAATTGACGGACGCGAGCCAATTGTTGGGTGTTGGTGGTGATCGGGCGAGATGACGTAATGTCGTAGTGCCTACTAGGCTTACACTCTTGTCCGGTTGTCGCTACACCGACGAGAGGCAGAGGGCACCATCCAACGCATGTACTGGCTGTATGACCCACGCCCCCAGTTGGGAGCCTGATGATGGTCGTTGTGCGGTGAAAACCTTATGAATTGATGGACGTGAGCCAATTGTTGGGTGTTGGTGGTGATCGGGCGAGATGATGTAATGTCGTAGTGCCTACTAGGCTTACACTCTTGTCCGGTTGTCGCTACCCCGATGAGAGGCAGAGGGCACCATCCAACGCATGTACTGGCTGTATGACCCACGCCCCCAGTTGGGAGCCTGGTGATGGTCGTTGTACGGTGAAAACCTTATGAATTGACGGACGTGAGCCAATTGTTGGGTGTTGGTGGTGATCGGGCGAGATGATGTAATGTCCTAGTGCTTACTAGGCTTACACTCTTGTCAGGTTGTCGCTACACTGACGAGAGGTAGAGGGCACAATCCAACGCATGTACTGGCCGTATGACCCATGCATCCGATTGGGAGCTTGGTGATGGCCTTTGTGCGGCGAGAAGCTTATGAATTGACAGATGTTCTGCGTGCTTAGCGGGGCGTGTTCGAGTGCGTCGAGTGTTGGTCGCTGCTATGCTGCGATTAATGCCTGCGTACTTGGGCACAACGTACGTGTGGGCGCATGAGTGGCATATGTTTTGTGTGTGCTTGTCGGTTCCCTACTTGTGCAGCGACGACTTGTCACCCAAACTACTTCGGCGGTCCCAAACGGTTGTCCCAAACGGTTGTTGTCCCGAACGGTTGTTGGTTGCGCTATGGCGATGGTTTGTGCTAAATACCCAAGGGGTACGGAAAATGTCGGTTAACAGGTTGCGAACTTCGCCTTGTGCCAACCCTTTCTGGGGTGAAGCACGAGGTGGACGTCGAAGCTCGTTTTGTGTGCCAACATTGTTGCAATAGCATCCAGTGTTGGTCCATGGCGCGTTGCTTGATCTCTTGGATACGAAAAGCCCATTGGGCTAGGTTGCATGTCCTTTACCAGCTCTAACCATCACCTCTGCCTCATATTAAGCTCCTTCTGCGTTAAGATGTATTTCAAACTCTTGTGGTCCGTGAAGATCTCGCACTTGCCCCCGTAAAGGTAGTGCCTCCAGATCTTAAGCGCATGAACCACTGCGGTAAGCTCCAGGTCATGGGTCGAATAATTCACCTCGTGAGGCTTCAACTGCCTCGATGCATAAGCCACGACCTTTCCTTGCTGCATCAACACACAGCCCAGACCCATCTTCGAAGCATCACCATAAATAGTGAACTCCAAAGTCAGATCTAGTATGGTCAACACGGGCGCAGATGTGAGTCTCTTCTTCAACTCTAGAAAGCTCGACTCACACTGAGGGCTCCACACAAACTTGGTGTTCTTCTTGGTTAAGTTCATCAGCGGTTGGGCCACCTTCGAAAACCCCTCGATAAAACGTCGGTAATATCCTGCCAGTCCCAGAAAACTGCGGATGTCACTAGCATTCTTCGGTGTCTCCCATTTACTGACGGCCTCAATCTTCCCTGGGTCTACTTCAATTCCTTTGGTCGTGACAATGTGGCCTAAGAAAGCCACTCTATCCAGCCAAAACTCACACTTCGAGTATTTCGCGTAGAGCTTCTCTCGACGAAGGGTCTCTAGCACAGTCCTCAAATGTTCTTTATGCTCCTCTGTGTCTCGGGAATACACCAAGATGTCGTCAATGAAGACAATGACGAAGCGGTCTAGATACGGGTGGAAAACACGGTTCATCAAGTCCATGAACACCGCAGGGGTATTACTCAACCCAAACGGCATGACCACGAACTCGTAATGACCGTACCTAATTCGGAAAGCGTTTTTCGAGACATCGGACTCCTTGATCTTCAGCTGCTGATAACCAGACCGTAGATCGATCTTGGAGAAGACACTGGCTCCTCTCAATTGATTAAAGAGATCCTCGATTCTCGGCAAGGGATACTTGTTCTTGACCGTCAAATTGTTCAACTTGCGGTAGTCAATGCACATGCGCATCAAACCATCCTTCTTCTTCACAAACAGCACGGGCGCTCCCCAAGGTGAAACACTCGGTCGGATGAAACCAAGGTTCAACAGCTCCTGGATTTGCGTCTTGAGTTCTTGCAACTTATTCGGTGCCATTCGATAAGGGGCCTTCGAAACGAGTCCGACTCCTGGCAACAAGTCAATGGTAAACTCAACTTTACGGTTAGGCGGCCCTCTTGGCAACTGGTCGGAAAAAACATCGGGGTACTCACACACGATTGATACCCCCCCTCCCCTCCGATGATGGCTTCTTCTCTTCCCCTTCTCCGATCATGTTCACTAGGTAGCCTTGGCAACTACCATCGCTATTCTCTTCATGGCCTTCAGGGAGGATATAACCTTCGACGGTTCTCAATTTGGCGCCGTAAAACACGATCGGCTCTCTATTGTTTGGGTGAAGCGTGACCTCTTTCTCTAAGCACCGGATGTCAGCACAATAGTGAGTGAGCCAGTCCATACCAAGGATGACGTCGAAATCCCGCATATCGATGATATAAGCATCTGCCTCCAACGTTCGGCCTCCGATCGAAATTTCAAGTCCCTATACCATAATATCGGTAGAGATCGTCTTTCCCGAAGCTAAACAAACCTCGAGAGCATCGACTCTACTAACACTATGGATTCCCAGTGACTCCAGGCATTGAAGAGATATAAAACAATGCGTGGCTCCAGTATCACATAAAGCATAAATATCCACATTCGATAAAGATAGCATGCCAGACATTGTACCTGCATTGTTGGCTGTCTCCGCCTGAGTAATGGCATAAAGTCGGGTTGGGGCTCGCTGCTGTTTGAGGTTGGGGCTGATTTGGCTTCCTGGGTTTTGGGCAGAAACGAGAGTAGTGGCCCTTCTTCTGACAGTTGAACCAAGTGATATCGACAACTCGACACATGTTGGCATCGTGGACTCGTCCACATGCCCTACACTGCTGAAGTCCTCCTGGAATCTGACGGAGAGGCTGGACGTTCTGCACCACCGGCTGATGCTGCTGAGGGTGGCGTGGGCCATGATTAGGGCGCTTGCCCTTCTTGCGGTTCTGTTGGTCACTCTTCCTCTTGCCAGAGCTAGAGGATGGGGTAACAGCAGTGAAAGGGACATGATACTGATAAGAAATCTGAGGAATGACAGGTGGCTGGGAGATGAGCGGTGGAGCAGTCTGAGTGGTCTGAGAAGCATGATAATAGGAGGGAACTGGAGCTATCGTAATCAGACAAATCTCAACCTCCTGAGCTCGCAGGACGGTATCATCATAAGACATAGCTCCATGACTTCCTACAAGCTCTCGAATTCGCTGGTTCAGCCCCTTCAGATACTTGCGGGCTTTCCTGACATCAGTATTCACCATATCGCCAGCGAAGATACTCATGCGAGTGAAATTGCGTGTATACTCATCCACGCTAGCATTCCCCTGCTGGAGATGATAAAACTCCTGCTCCATGCGATCACGGAAACTCTGGGGAAGAAATTTGTCTCGGACGATATCCTTCATACGCTCCCAAGTGAGAGCTTCGCGCTCCACCTCTGGCCTCAAGGCCCAGTAATCAATCCACCAGTCCGAAGCATCCATCTTCATCTGAAAACCAGCCAAAGAGACGCGTTGTGGCTGAGTGAGAGGGAGCACGACGAAGATCTTATCCAGCTCCTTCATCCACTCCAGTACGGCAGTGGGACTCTTAGTCCCCGTGAAAGTAGGCGGATGCATACCCTGGAACTGAATGATAAGCCACGGAAAATCCCAGTCTGGATCGGGAGTAGCACGCTGACGAGGCGAAGGAGGCGGGGACGGAGACAGAGATGGTTGCCTATTGCGAGCATTGCGTCTAGCCATAGCTCTACATTGAATAATCCGAATAGTTTAGCACAACCAAACGTCAATTCTAGAGTTCACACTCAACCTCTAGAATTCAACATATAATAAGGTGGATAGTCCTAAGTGTTGGGTTCGATATACTGTACGGAACAGAGTTTGCAGCGGAATTTAAAATTTTATAAGTATTTATCTTATAAATATAGGGATGTAAATGGGTCGGGTCGGGTACGGGTTTTCACAAACCCGTACCCGACCCGCCAGTTAAAAATACGTACCCGTACCCGACCCGCTACCCGGTTATCCATCACCGGGTTCGGGTTGGGTTTTACCCGTCGGGTAATCGGGTACCCGTCGGGTAATCGGGTTACCCGGATTAGTATTGTCGGTCATATTAGTTTGGGTTTTTTTTACCCGTTTACCCGAATCTCACCCATAACCCCCAACCCGACCCGACCCGACCCGAATCTTCTTTTTATTATTTATGTTTTTTGTTGATTTAAGAATTATTTTCTTAACAAATATTTGAAATTCTTAACTTTATCTTAAAGATAAGGGAATACACAAATTTTAAGCTAGAGAGATCATGATACGTAAAATAATATTACTTATAAGTATTGGTAAATTAAATAAACAAATTATGGGCATATATAATTGGTAAATTCAATATAATATCGTACTAAATTTCAATGAAATTGTGATTCATAATTACGTTCTACTTATTATTCATCTAGGATAAAGAAATTATATTGAAATGTATAATAAATTATAAACAATGATTATAAAACATACTACTGAAATTAATTTTTGTGTTTGTTAAAAAATATGTAATAAGATGTACTTTTAAATTCAAACTGACAATATAATATTTATTTGAAATGATATAACGAGAGATATCTAACAATTGGTAAAAAAATAGACAGATGTATAGATTTTAAAAAAAAGTATGTTATTAATTTTGTCGCATATTATACATTATTTTGGCGTTTTACGAATTCCCGATTCATACTCCAAAGAAACAACGACAATACGTTATAGATATATGCATATCATTTTATTTGGATAATACTTAATTACTCATAGTTTGAAATAGAGAGATCATGATACGTAAAATAATATTACCTATAACTATTGGTAAATTAAAGAAACAAATTATTGGCATAGATAATTGATAAATTCAACATATAGAATTCTCTTATATTTTAATTAAATTACAATTCATAATTATGTTCTACTTGCTCTTCATACATGATAAAGAATTGAAATGCAAAATAAATTGTAAAATATGATTATAAAATATAACACTGAAATTAATTTTTGTTTTTGTTAAGTAACAAGTACAACGTCTGTGTATTACACGGATGCTTGCTAATTTTTTTCTTAAAATCTAAAATTAATGAAACAAAGTAGTTGAAAATTTAAATATCTTTTATAAATATATATATATATTATTATATATTTAGTATGACATTTTTTATTTGTGCAACTTAAATGTGTTATATTATAATAATTTTTTTAACTTAGAACATATAACTACATTAAACATAAGTATATCAATTGAGAAATAATTGTATTTTTCTAATGAATTTTAATATATTTATTATTTATTATTATTATAAAGATAAATATAAATTATTTATTTCATATATACAATATGGATGTCAAATCAAAGATCATCAAAAGATGATTAATTTGATATATTATACATGTAAAACCGATAAGAAATACAAAATTTATCAACTTTTAAAATACATTTATAATTTAATAGCTAATTGAAGGAAACAAATCAAAAGTAGGGTTATATTAGTACAAATGATATTAAAATACCTAAGTTAGCTAAATAATATTTATAGAATGTCCAAACCTAAATTTATTATTAATTATAAATATATCAATATTATTTGTCCAAACCTAATTACGAAGCATGATTCTTTGCCAAGTAGGATTGCGAAGCACCAGAAGCAGCCACGTAGGCTCAGCGCATTCCGGAATAATATATAGGGAGGATATGATGTAATTTGAAATTCAAATTGACAATATAATATTTATTTGAAATCATATAGCGAGATATATCTAATACTTGATAAAGACACAACTCCATAGATTTATACATAGAATTTTACTTGGATAATACATAGTTACTCATATTTTCAAATATTTGTAAAGAGGTAAATATATAGAATAAACTACACATGTATAAACTTATTATCTTGTTTATTATTATTTATTATATATATGTTATTTATATAATTAGAGTTATTCTTTTTGTATAAAAATATAAATTGATCGTATTTATATTTGTGATGCTCATACTTATAAAAATAGAAGAAGTAACAAAATATTATGTCCAAATTATATGAATATACTCCATATTCATTCTTCAATATATATAAAAATTTAAAAATATTATAGTTACTAAATTATTATTTTTGGAACATATATTTTTTGTATATTTATTTGTATCTAAAGTTATTAGGTGTGCGGGTAAAAGGACGGGTCGGGTAGAAAAACCCACCGGGTAAACGGGTCGGGTAGTGGGTTTTCTTGGTAAACCCGTACCCGACCCGAACCGGCTTGCGGGTATAAAAGAAAAACCCATACTCGACCCAAAGCTCGCTCTTACCGGGTATACCCGACCCGATTTTTCAGGTTACCCGCGGGTTACCCGACCCGGTGGGTTTTTCTGACAACCCTATATAAATACTTATTTCGTACATAAGTATAACGAGATAACAAATAAGCATCATTTAAAATCTAGTAACTTTTACTAATTTTGATTTGATATTTAATTTATAAAAATTACCTTTGTTCTTGAACTCCTTGAAAACCGACGATGTATGAGGAAATCAATTCCCGGTTTGGTAAGGATCACTTCTTGTTGTTACTCACTTTAGGAATCCAAATGTCTTCCCTCTAATCGTATCCACCTTTTGAACTTTGGTTCCGACTATAGTTTCTTCGCTAGTAGAAACTACTCGGTTTTTTAAGAAGTATAGAATATATGTTTATAAGGAAATTTTTCAAGAACACTTTCTTGTATTATCACTCAACTCTTTGAATGAATTTTCTCTTGGAAGAATTTTGCTCAAAACTTAGCAATTAATGTGCAAACATTTTGCACCTATTTATACTAAACATTTTAGCATAAAATAACCAATATTTGATATATTTTATTTTAAATAAAATCATATTTTATTTAAATAATCATACCAAATATTGACTTTTAACTAATAATGTAGAGTGGTTTATAACCACCATTATTGTTTTAATAAAAATAAGATTAATTATGTGGATTGGTTAACAACTCCAAACCACCATAATTAATTTATTCTTATTAATATTTAATCTTCAATCATATTAAAAATAAATAATAAAATAATAATTCTTGAAAACATTTTTCAAGACTTTATTATTTTAATATATTCTTCAATTTCCTTATTTAATAATCTTATTATTATTTGGATTTGAAATTTAAAATTCAATTTTAAATTCCAACTATTAATTAGTAATTCTATTAATTACTAAATTAATATCCAAAATTCAATTAATCAATCTAATTGATTAATTTAATATATTTCTTTAATTGATATCTAATCAAATTAGATTTGTCAATTAATTCTAACTCTTTAGAAATACTATTTGAATTTTACCTTCATTCAAAAATTAGTGTGACCTTTTCGGTTCACAATTAATACTAGTAGTGGGTTTACAACTCTTTGTAATTTGAGTTATTCATATTAACTCTTATTCTTGAATTAACTCTTTAATTCAAGAACCCACATATCATGGGAACATCTAGCAAGTAGCATGAATCGAGTATTAAGTGAATAGCGAGTAAACTTATTTCGATTACAAGTCCATACATGTAAAATCCTTTCGACATCCAATTTCTCGATT